TCGTGAAGAGACTATCGTGACGAGACTATCGTGGTGAGACTATCGTGGCGAGACTATCGTGAAGAGACTATCGTGGTGAGACTTATCGTGACGAGAATTATCGTGGTGAGACTATCGTGACGAGACTTATCGTGGTTAGATTTATCGTGACGAGACTATCGTGGTGAGACTGATCGTGACGAGACTATCGTGACGAGACTTATCGTGACGAGACTATCGTGGCGAGACTATCGTGGCGAGACTATCGTGACGAGACTATCGTGGTGAGACTATCGTGGCGATACTATCGTGAAGAGACTATCGTGGTGAGACTTATCGTGACGAGACTATCGTGACGAGACTTATCGTGACGAGACTATCGTGGCGAGACTATCGTGACGAGACTATCGTGGCGAGACTATCGTGGCGAGACTATCGTGACGAGACTATCGTGGTGAGACTATCGTGGCGAGACTATCGTGAAGAGACTATCGTGGTGAGACTTATCGTGACGAGACTTATCGTGACGAGACTATCGTGGCGAGACTATCGTGACGAGACTATCGTGGCGAGACTATCGTGACGAGACTATCGTGGTATGACTATCGTGACGAGACTATCGTGACGAGACCATCGTGGCGAGACTATCGTGAAGAGACTATCGTGACGAGACTATCGTGGCGAGACTATCGAGACGAGACTATCGTGGTGAGACTATCGTGACGAGACTTATGGTGCTAATGATATACTATGTTGATCACGTCGTTACCATCGTATGCCATTACTCAAGTTATTTTGGTGCGCCCACCACGCTTGATCTTTATTTGGTCTTTCAAAGTTGGATGTTCGTCCTTCTTTTCTTTTCTTTCTTCTATCTTTACTACCTCATCATATGATATATAACCGCTTTCATTGTCAACATGGCCGCCCGTCAGATTTTTTTCCCGATCAGTCCCAAAATGAAATAAAAACACAACCGTTGTTAGGAGAAAGAGTGGCCTGCATGTGAAACTGGAGAAAGATTCGTTCAGTACTTCTAAACAAATTGCAATAGCAAATCATATTTGTCAAGATTAAAAAACGAAAAACCAAAACAAGAAACACAAGAAAAGGAAACGCTTGTCAGTCAATTAAAAAAATGGCACATGTACGGACAAGGGCAACCTGTATATATATGTGTATTTTGAGAAAGATCCATCGAGTGCTTAGCAAAAAACAGCGACAACAAAAAAAGTGTAAGGACAAACGACGGAAAGGTCTCAACACGTACTCAGTGCTACAGCCACAGTCCACCATCATCATCAGCACTACTCGGAACACCTCAGGCCTTTAACGTAACTTTGTAAACACTAGGGTAAAATGATCGTTGTATACAGGTTATTTACTATCTTTTAGAAATTAAATATATTCATTAAGTTGTAAAACTTACGAAATAAAATTAAATTGAAAATAACTCATTTTGCGTCTGGTTGAATTTCGTGTTCGTGTACCGATAGAGAGTAATGTTAAGCGGGGGCTGAACCGTGATAGGTATCAGATGTACCCTAGTACATATTTTTTCTAAAATTGCAACTATTTTTTCCTGCTCTGTGACCGCCCCGCAAACGTTTGGTCTGACATTATACCAGCTATGCTCTGACGAACTTTTGCATTAGCAAATCAAATTATCGCATACTGAATTTTCTTAGTGAATGAAGGTGGCGAGATATCTTGCGTATTCCTAGGTAAGCAGTAAGTCATTTCGTCCCAGATTATCGAATAAGTTAAAACATATTTTCGTGTCATTCTAATTAAAATACGGATCCATTTCTTACTATTATGGGAAAAGTAAAACAGCGAGAATTAGAATCTGAATTTTAATCGACGTGGTTTGAATATATATTTGATGTGACGAAATAACTTGCTATAAATGAAATTGTTATCTATATCATTCGCCTTGTGCGTGAGGTAAAGAAGGTAGAAAGACCGTCAGGACACTTTTGTCTGGTGTTGTCAGAACTTTAATGAAACAGAGGTAGTAAGGATCTGCATTTTACGCGGATAGTCCCGGTATCCGTTACACAGTTCTTATATCACAGCTAGAGTTACTCTCCTTCGTTTCAAAAGCTTTAAGATTAACAACACAAACAAAATTGGAATTAACTTTTCACGTGCGGTGTCTTTGATAATTGTGACGTCACTGAATCTTTTGTTAAGAAATTGACCCAAGGGGGACACGTGTTCAGGTAACATTTTGTCTCAGACGGATGATAAATTACAAAACAAACCAGAAATATGACAACCTGTACATACTAATGCATGTGTGTATTGAGATGAACGTGACAATTTACTACTGAAGATAAAAATTTGCATACATTTATTTCTCAACAATAGAACATATCAATTTTAATTTATTCTTAAACATTTGGAATTCTCGTACATGTTTTATTGATATAGATCTCTACATAGCTATGATTCAGATGTATATTGGAGTTGGGAGTATGTATATGCATTAAATCACACAACTTTTAAATCGGCGAGATGTTATCATTTTTGTCATTTTGACTGTTTGTCATTTTGATTTATGAAGTCTACAACAACTAAATTTTAAAATACTTCTCATCTTTGTTTCGATACATCTTTTCATATCTCACGTCCCGACAAAAATATTAATTTGATTTAAGCCCAACAGTCTGAAGCCACAAACTCGAATCTTCAATGAAGTGTGACATGGACATATCAACTGTATCTATAGTGTTGATTAAAGAAAATATAAGAATTGCGTAACTTATTCTGAAACAAATATCTACCGTCAAAATCCATGTCGGGAAACGATCTTGGTTACTAATAATGTATTCATAAAAATTGATAAAATGTTATATAAGTTTAAAGAAAGAAAGAAAGAAAAAAAAGAGAGAGAGAGAGAGAGAGAGAGAGAGAGAGAGAGAGAGAGAGAGAGAGAGAGAGAGAGAGAGAGAGAGAGAGAGAGAGAGAGAGAGAGAGAGAGAGAGAGAGAGAGAGAGAGAGAGAGAGAAGAGAGAGAGAGAGAGAGAGAGAGAGAGAGAGAGAGAGAATGAGTAAAATAAAATTCAATTTAAGCAACTTTTGAAAAAAATCAAATCAATCTAAATAAACTTAACACACCCTCCCCTACACGCCCCCCCCCCCCCCCCTCCCAAAAAAAAAAAAAAAAAAGATCTGTTATATAGTTATGATATAAAAAGATGTGGTTTTAATGTAACAATGCTATAAAAAAATCTGACAATACATTTTTTCAATTGCAAAATTTCCTCACTATTCAATATTACCAGGTTAAAATGTTTACAATACCAGCATAGAAACATTGACCTTTGAACTTGCGCATGGAAATATTACTGGAAATACTTTTGCCAAACACATGGATAAATACTTACATTTTCTTAAGTACATTTATCAAATAAGACACAAAGTTAAGATCTGAATTAGTTTTCTGAAGTTGTTATGTCACGTACAAAGATGGTTCTACAGTAAATTTTGATGATAAGACTGACGTGTAGATATGAAGATTTTATATTACCTTCTATGTTTACCAATTTACCGCGCCAAACAGAATACGTTTTCTTAGAGGAATCGCCCCATAGAAGAATAATACGCTCCATAGAATATATTCTTTGACCTTTCACCTTTACTCAATAACCTCGAAACTAATACTTGTCTAAGAAATGAAGCCGGCAGAAGTCTGACCAATTTTGGTGTTACACACGTTTGAGCCAAGTTGGACAAACGGAGGGAACCTTCATATATAGACCCCCACCCCCAACACCCCCTTCCCCCACCCACTGCCCACAGCCATCGCCAACCTCCACCTGCACTCCGGTTCCGCCGATAGGGAACCAGTACCTAAACAACTTTTAATCTTTTTAAATACCTCTAATAACTTAAAAATATTATTAAAGTACAACCTTATAAACATAAAATTCTATCTTAGATCAAAATCCATCAAAATAATAAACACTTTATAATGCGTTTTAGAGAATTTTCTAGAGTTTTTTCTCGCGTGTCTCTATTTGATTCCAGGGTGAAGGGTCAAAAGTGAAGTTTTCCTGCCATATTAAGGCGGTCTTATATATATATATATGTGTGTGTGTGTGTATGTATGTTTGTCGACAAATTATCAGAAAAGTAATGTTCAGTGAGGATTTGATCTTTATACAGATTAGAAAACATTTTTCTTTATAAAAAGGATTTTACTGAAAAAAAACTGAATTTTTTGTTTGTATATTATAATTGTTTTTCTACACTTTGTTTATTGTACCTTGCTGTATTTTTGCAGTAAGATTTAGCAAAAAACAACTGTCGTATGCTGAACACCTGCACGTGAAGCGGTGCACAACGAAGATTAAACGATTTCCTACTTAAGGGGAAAAAATAGACAAATAGAAATTAATTAACTGTCGCGTTTATTTGTTGTACATTGATGTATCACTTTAAAACAGACACATATTCCGTCAAAAAACGCAATCAACACAAAAACTTACTTCATAAACAAGATGTCAACATCCTGCATTTCCTTTTTTTCCATGTTATAAAACCAAAGCGATAATTGTGTTCGTCGTTAACAAAATGAAAAAAAAAATTATTTCAACTATATTAAAGTTTCTTTGTTTTTTAATCAAATTCATTTTCTTCGTTACAAAGATCATCCCAAATATTACAAGGAGAAATCGCATTTTTGTGCTTTTTATTTGTGGTTTTTAAGACAATCTAGAGGTTAAATTTCCCGTAAATCACGCCTAGTCTGAGTAAACTTGTTGACTTACAGACAAAAACACAACCTAGCTATCTTTAAGCTGTTTGAACACAAGCATACATTCCGGATACGCTTAATTGATTTGTCACTTGTTAAAACGTATAATGTTAAGTAAGGATTTAGTCGTCTCCTTCAGAGTGAACATGAACGTACAAAACTGAAATCGACGACGAAAAATGATATGCTTCAAAACTATCAACATTTTTTACGAGTATTTTTTCCTGTGCCACATTTTTTTTTCAAAGCGTACTTTTCAAAATAAAACATGAAACATCCTCAGTTTGACCAAACAAGATCTTCTTTTTTTCTTTTTCCCATCTTTCATCCTTTCAACGTGTCTATATTTCTCGAAGCCCTGCTTTGCTCGGAGGCCTGTTTTTTCTCGAAGCCGTGCTTCGCTTGGATGCCTGTTTTTCTCGAAGCCCTGCTTTGCTCGGACGCCTATTTTCTCGAAGCCTTGCTTTGCTCGGAGGACTGTTTTTCTCGAAGTCCTGCTTTGCTCGGAGGCCTGTTTTTTCTCGAAGCCCTGCTTCGCTCGGAGGCCTGTTCTTCTCGAAGCCCTGCTTCGCTCGGAGGCCTGTTTTTCTCGAAGCACTGCTTCTCTCGGAGGCCTGTTTTTCTCGAAGCCCTGCTTCTCTCGGAGGCCTGTTTTTTCTCGAAGCCCTGCTTTGCTCGGACGCCTATTTTTCTCGAAGCCTTGCTTTGCTCTGAGGACTGTTTTTATCGAAGCCCTGCTTTGCTCGGAGGCCTTTTTTCTCGAAGCCCTGCTTTGCTCGGAGGGCTGTTTTTCTCGAAGCCCTGCTTTGCTCGGAGGGCTGTTTTCTCGAAGCCCTGCTTTGCTCGGAGGCCTGTTTTTCTCGAAGCACTGCTTCGCTCGGAGGCCTGTTTTTCTCGAAGCCTTGCTTTGCTCGGAGGCCTGTTTTTCTCGAAGCCTTGCTTTGCTCGGAGGCCTGTTTTTCTCGAAGCCTTGCTTTGCTCGGAGGCCTTTTTTCTCGAAGCCCTGCTTTGCTCGGACAACGACTGCTATTTACGAGGAAGCTCCTTCTTTCACATGTGTATACATTTACCAGCTTTGTTTCTCCAGCTTTGAATTTTTCTTAAAACTTCCATTATCAACGGACTCAACAAAGATTTTCTACTGTATGTACCGATAGTTGTTCTTGTTTAATTTATAAACCATAAATTAAAATTAAATTCACATGGAATTGGTGTCCTCGTCTTTGATGAATTTTTTCGCTAAAGTATCATTTCAAAATCAAACATTAAATGCTGTCCGAACTTTTCAAACATCACGCAAAAACAACAGCCACGCTACTTCTGGCCTTCTGTTCCGAACCAACAACGCGAACGATTGAGCTTCGACAAACCAAGAAAACAAACTCACAAATATAGCCCAATCTAACTTGCCTGACATCATAAGCCAAATTGATAAATCATTTCTATTTTAGGTGTTCTAAATCCGTCACGCATGGTTGCCCAATCATTAAAGTGATTTATGAAATATGGCTTCTCATACAAAGTTATGCAGTGATACTTTAAGATTTTCTAGTTCTCACTGAGATCAGTGGGGCGATGTTACATTAAGTGACATTTCTCATTCATGATGAATTATCAGACATATGTGCTTAAGAAATGTTTATACATGAAAATATGTCACTAAATTATATAGATGTTATACCAGGTAGCGGAGTTCCGTAATATTTATAAAATGTAGGAACAATAGTTTTAATTCTTATCACATTTTAATAGAAGTTATACCTCGTAGTGGAGTTCCGTAATATTTATAAAATGTAGGAACAATAGTTTTAATTCTTATCACATTTTTATAGAAGTTATACCTCGTAGTGGAGTTCCGTAATATTTATAAAATGTAGGAACAATAGTTTTAATTCTTATCACAATTTTTATAGAAGTTATACCTCGTAGTGGAGTTCCGTAATATTTATAAAATGTAGGAACAATAGTTTTAATTCTTATCACATTTTTATAGAAGTTATACCTCGTAGTGGAGTTCCGTAATATTTATAAAATGTAGGAACAATAGTTTTAATTCTTATCACATTTTTATAGAAGTTATACCTCGTAGTGGAGTTCCGAAATATTTATAAAATGTAGGAACAATAGTTTTAATTCTTATCACATTTTTATAGAAGTTATACCTCGTAGTGGAGTTCCGTAATATTTATAAAATGTAGGAACAATAGTTTTAATTCTTATCACCTTTTTATAGAAGTTATACCAGGTTGTGGAGTTCCGTAATATTTATAAAATGTAGGAACAATAGTTTTAATTCTTATCACATTTTTATAGAAGTTATACCTCGTAGTGGTGTTCCGTAATATTTATAAAATGTAGGAACAATAGTTTTAATTCTTATCACATTTTTATAGAAGTTATACCTCGTAGTGGAGTTCCGTAATATTTATAAAATGTAGGAACAATAGTTTTAATTCTTATCACATTTTTATAGAAGTTATACCAGGTAGTGAAGTTCCGTAATATTTATAAAATGTAGGAACAATAGTTTTAATTCTTATCACATTTTTATAGAAGTTTTAACAGGTAGTGAAGTTCCGTAATATTTATAAAATGTAGGAACAATAGTTTTAATTCTTATCACATTTTTATAGAAGTTATACCAGGTAGTGAAGTTCCGTAATATTTATAAAATGTAGGAACAATAGTTTTAATTCTTATCACATTTTTATAGAAGTTATACCAGGTAGTGAAGTTCCGTAATATTTATAAAATGTAGGAACAATAGTTTTAATTCTTATCACATTTTTATAGAAGTTATACCTCGTAGTGGAGTTCCGTAATATTTATAAAATGTAGGAACAATAGTTTTAATTCTTATCACATTTCATTTAAGGTTGTAACGTAGAGTTATGTTGCTCTAATACACTCGCGTGTGTTATAACATACATAGAAAGTATTAATAAAAGCAGTTATAAATGTATATTGTATTAACTCACTGTCAATATCACACACGGTTTAAACATGCGTGCATTTCCTATGTATCATGGTCGCTCCGTTTTTTTGCATTTCTAAACAGGCTACAATATTAATGTGTCAGACATAGCATAACCCCTTAACTTAGATACAAATTACACTACAGTATACCAGATAATGAGAAATCCTGTATGAAAACAACACACGGTGAAATGGATAGGTATAGAATATATTAATTGTAACACAAATACAATGGGGCCAGGAACGGTACATCTAGTATGAAGTGAGATGTATAGCATATAGCCTTAATATAAACCAGGGTAGAAAGAGGCAGGTATAGCATATAGCCTTAACATAAACCAATGTATAAAGAGGCATGTATAGCATATAGCCTTAACAGAAACCAATGTATAAAGTAGCATGTATAGAATATAGCCTTACTATAAACCATGGTATGAAGAGGCAGGTATAGCATATAGCCTCAACACAAACCGTTGTAGAAAGAGGCAGGTATAGTATATAGCCTTACTATAAACCAGGGTAGAAAGAGGCAGGTATAGTATATAGCCTTAACACAAACCGTGGTATGAAGAGGCAGGTATAGCATATAGCCTTAACACAAACCGTGGTATAAAGAGGCATGTATAGCATATTGCCTTAACACAAACCGTGGTATAAAGAGGCATGTATAGCATATTGCCTTAACAGAAACCGTGGTATAAAGAGGCAGGTATAGCATATAGCCTCAACACAAACCGTGGTATGAAGAGGCAGGTATAGTATATAGCCTTACTATAAACCAGGGTAGAAAGAGGCAGGTATAGTATATAGCCTTAACACAAACCGTGGTATGAAGAGGCAGGTATAGCATATAGCCTTAACACAAACCGTGGTATAAAGAGGCATGTATAGCATATAGCCTTAACACAAACCGTGGTATAAAGAGGCATGTATAGCATATAGCCTTAACACAAACCGTGGTATAAAGAGGCATGTATAGCATATAGCCTCAACACAAACCGTGGTATGAAGAGGCAGGTATAGTATATAGCCTTACTATAAACCAGGGTAGAAAGAGGCAGGTATAGTATATAGCCTTAACACAAACCGTGGTATGAAGAGGCAGGTATAGCATATAGCCTTAACACAAACCGTGGTATAAAGAGGCATGTATAGCATATAGCCTTAACACAAACCGTGGTATAAAGAGGCATGTATAGCATATAGCCTTAACACAAACCAGGGTAGAAAGAGGCAAGTATAGCATATAGCCTTAACACAAACCGTGGTATAAAGAGGCATGTATAGCATATAGCCTCAACACAAACCGTGGTATAAAGAGGCATGTATAGCATATAGCCTTAACACAAACCGTGGTATAAAGAGGCATGTATAGCATATAGCCTTAACACAAACCGTGGTATAAAGAGGCATGTATAGCATATAGCCTTAACACAAACCGTGGTATAAAGAGGCATTTAATAGCATATTGCCTTAACAGAAACCGTGGTATGAAGTGACATGTACAGCATTTAGCCTCAACGCGAACCCATGTACAAGGTGCTATGTATAGTATAAAACCCCAACACAAACTCCGGTATAAAGTGTCGTGCGTGGCATATAGCCTTAACACAAATCACGATAAATATCGAATTGTTCATCATAGTTGACGTGTTGACACATGTGAACTATGGTATGTGTGTGTATAGTATACAGGTCGATATCAGTGACATTAGGAATAGGGAGTCTTATTATATGTGCCCCTTTCACAGCAACACGTGTATCGTAAGTAAAAAGATATGTAAACACTGGTAAACGTGTGTAAATATGTGTTCATACACGAACGGTAATGTATTTTTATGTAAATATGCCTTTCGATGAATTTGCAATGCAGAATACCTTGCTATTTTTTGTGATAGATTATCATAAAAAAGTTTCAAATTGTCCGAAAGTCAGGACAAGAAATGATGCTCATTTAACATATACAATGTGTCACCTTCCTCTTACCTTCATTCTCTTCGCGGAAATGACGTCATGCAGTCACAAATTTTAACAGGTGTGAATATAGCTAAGACATCAGTAACTATCATCAGAAATTGAAGGATCGGTAGTTTCTTTTGCTTGCGAAAAGGCGGCCAGGAACAAAATTTTCTGGTGTTTGAAGATTCCTTAAGCGCGTGATCTTCCTCGTCGAATTTTAAGATTTAAGTCGATATATCGCAGTATTGCGGGTTCGTGTTGTCTATATTTATTTTGAATATATATATATATATATATTTATATGTCGAAATCGACATTGTACATGTTAATTAAATGTCTTCACTTATCAACCATTTTGAGTCTATCTTAACAGTGTCGGCAAGTGTCGTCAGACGTTTTCAGAAAATGTCTTTCAAAACACTGAATAAAGTTATCGACATCAAGATTTGGAATAATGACCATGATAAAACTGTGTGTATGTAGAGCATATCTTTATATACCTCTTATTTTTAGGTACTTTAAAAGATGTTTTAGAAGACGTTTAACTGCGCGTGTGTTCACGTGTTGATGCTGTTTAGATAGACTGCTAATATGTTTTAAATGGTATCCCTTTGTATATCAATAAATTGATACTTTCAGTTCTAGTGGATTTATTGTTTAAGTACTAAAACTGAAAAATAAGGAAAATTCAAAGCGAAGTTGACACTCAAAGTATTTATAAATCTTCAGTACCAAAACTTACTTTGATTTATGGAGATTCTTTCTACAATAAAACTGTAAAAAAAAAACGTAGGATTTTGTTAAATATAAAAAGATGAAACGACCGACTGCCTTTAAGTAAACTGTTGTTTGATACATATATAAACAAACTTTATCCCCATAGAAAAAAAACAAGTGAGAATAAGGTGAAAGTAAATAGAGAAACAACACTGCATCTTGTTTCACACCCATTTTCACATTTATCTCGTTTCACATTTATCTTGTTTAAAATTTATCTCGTTTCACATTTATCATGTTTAAAATTTATCTCGTTTCACATTTATCATGTTTAAAATTTATCTTGCTTCACATTTATCTTGTTTCACTCATCTTGTTTCACATTTATCTTGTTTCACTCATCTTGTTTCACATTTATCTTGTTTCACTCATCTTGTTTCACATTTATCTTGTTTCACTCATCTTGTTTCACATTTATCTTGTTTCTATAAATGAAAATTTATCTTGTTTCAATTTCTTTCACACTTCACAAACGAATATTCAAATAAACTTTGGATAATTTTTTTTGAGAGCGTAATATTTGCTACACGATTTGTATTAAAGCAAATTATAGACAAGATGTCCATATCATACTTAGGAAAGACTTACCTTTGAAATAGATTTCAAATCTTTTAAAACGCTGGAATATCCAATTTTTTTTTTCGATTTGATGAATTCCTATTCCAGCGAAAAATGTGTATCAAACTTCACATTACTGGAGATGAT